TCCTTCATCCCCCTCAATGTATGTTAAGAGGATGTAGGAAAAGCATGGACTCTGCTAACAGTCCCTGGTAAATCTGGCATTGGATCAGGCAGATTTCCATTGTCAGAAGTGAAGAAAAAAGCAATGTTTAAGAATAGGAGGATGCCTTTACCAGGTGGAACTGAGCCAGGCTTCTCAGCTCTACGCACAATTTTAGCTCACTGCGAAATTACAACTGCTCACCCTCCTTCTTCCAGCAAGTGATGGGATGGCCAGAGGCTGGCAATATGGATTCCAGGTTAAAAATAAGCAGAAGCAATATGTCAGGGCTTTAATCACATCTGTATGAAATGTGATTTTTCCTCCTTGCCAGACGTACCTTTTTTTTTGTAGAGACATTAATGCTCGTGGAACAATATTTGATCAGCCTTAATTTTCAGGCTGGATCCCTGCCTGTTTCTCTGAGCAGCCCAAGGTTTCCTCCTGCTGCTGTGGCCAGCTCTCGGCAGGATTTGCGCATCTGTGGCTGCGTGCAGCCGGGGTGAAGCGCACGCAGGGTCTCTAACGCACTGCAGTGGAGCCGAGTCACTTCCGATGCGGCTGGCTCAGCCTTCCTCTCTGCCATCCCTGGCTGGTTCATTAGCATCAAACTGTTCAAAGGGATGTAAATTAAATTATATTTAGGTCAGAAACATATTTTAAGCAAAAATACCTATTATATTTAAAGCATCTTGTTCAGAGACTCTCTGTCTGCTGCTTCCCGGATGGTTGCACAAATACTCGCTTAATGTTTTTAATGATACAGCAGGCACTACCAAAATCTGATTTTTGTTTAAATATAAATTAGGTTTATTCTCTCTCTCAATCTAATTAATGCTGGTAAATAAGAAACCACCTTCTGGCAGCTCATTTAGGTATCCCAAACAGGCAAAGGGACAGATGTCCCTGGGTAACTTGGACAGAGAGAGAAAATATCTCTGCCATAGAGAGTGACAGGGTTGTAGTCCCCAACAGCCCGGCGCTGCTGGTGCTCTGTGCTCTGCTAGGAGGGAGCAGGCAGGCAGGCAGGCAGCTTTCCAGGAGCAGCAGTAGTCAGGCATCACTCTCCACGCTTTGGGCTGCCACTCCTTTTAGGCAGCAGCCTCTCCATGACTCTCTGTGCAATCACATCTTAAACAGCTTCAAGCATCTGGCTACGCCTCCTATCAAGACTGTATGAGTGATGATCTCCTTGGACTTTATAAATATTGATCATTATTCTGGAAGCAGCTCAGCAGACACAAGCTACTCCAGCCCCAGCTCCTGCAGAAGAGGCTGTGTTGACTCACGGTCAATACACTTTAAACTGGAGTGTATCATTGATGCTTAGGGATCCTTGGCTGTTCATGCTTAGATCAATACTCCAAAGCCTCCTGTGAACCAGCCATGGTCATGGTTACCTTTCCCAGGGCTTCCAGTGGCATGCAGCTGTGCCAGTTCTGGAGCAGCCCAGTGATTTTTTGCAGCACTGCATGTCACCCTCCTCCTCCAAGGGACCAAGCCCACAGTCTCACTTGTTTATGCTGATGCATACCAGGGCAGAGGAACGGAGCTGCTGCTGCCTCTCCTCCGCAACCCACCCAGGAGAGGGTACTGGACAGCCCGCTGGCTTGCCCCACTGCCGACAGGCATCACGTCCTTCCACCTGCTCCTAAACTTTTCATTTCCATGAAGGTTTTGTCATGCATTTGATTCCCAAGACAATTTTCTCTCTCCTCCTACAGGGCACAGCAGGAGACAGAGACCCAAGCACAGCTGGCTGCTCCCCCCCAGGCCCTGTCAGACTTCGCAGCATGCCCTGGCGCTGCAGGCATCACAGAGGCAGGGCTCCTTAGATGTGTCAGGGAGGAGGTGATGCTATTTTTCCGCCCTTCCTCCAGGGGATCTTCAAATCCCTCGAATCTCACAGAGCAACAGTCTGTTAGATATCAGAGTCTGTTTGAAGGAGGCAGCAACACAGGAAAAGAAGTGTAGGATGGACAGGGATTCCCTGACAGAGAAAGCCAATATTCACGAGCTTAGTGGAAAAGATTAAAACTTTCCTGTTTTCCAGTGTTGACAGTGATCTTCCCCTCCATCAGCAGCTTCACTGATCTGCTCTTGGCCTGCTCTCTGCTGGGCCAGGGAGGATGTCACTCTACTGCGCTTTCCCTGACCCGCGATGGGAGCAGGGACAGAGGCAGCTCTCTCAGGGCTGCGAAAGGCACTCGGCACCTCTGACCTTTGGGGAGAGGCATATAAGGAGCATGAGAAATGCATTTTTCTTTTCAGCCTGAGCTGCAGTGCCCCGGCATCAAGTGCACTCATCAGATAAAACGCACTTCAGGCTGAAAGCAGACACAGAAACTGGTTTGAAGGGGGTTAGCCAGAGCATTCACCCAGGAAGGCACCAGCACTCGGCCACTCTCCCAGTGTTATTGGGTTAGTGTTAATGCAGCACATGTGGTCCAGCAGCCAGAGGAAATGGCTGGGGCCTTCCTCAGAATTGATGGCTTTATTCCTTGCATTAGCACCAACCTGCTGGCAGCAGCTGGCTTTGCTTGCAGCAGCGGCTGTTCCTTCTCTTCTGGCATGTGAACAGAGCCCTGTTTCGACTGCAGAAAAAAACAAGAAAAAAAGGCGCTATCGATTGTACCTGCTCCTGTTCATTCAAGCAGCACTTGTCATGACAGGGCAGTGGCAGCATATAGTTGTCCTTTGACAACAGCCCTAACCAGCTGGAGCAGAGCAGAGCAGCCATCCTTTCCGAGAGCCAGGAGCTGTTAGAGAGGGCAGGAAGCAATGATGCCATCTGCCCCTGCACCTTGACCTCACCAGTCCTCCCCAGGACTGCATGTGGCTGATGAGAGATGGAAGGCATGCCCTACAAACCACCGCACCAACTCCCTCATGCACAGGACATGCCTTGCTGAATGACAAAAATTACAACCACCGTACAAACCACAATTAAATGTGTTTATGAAGTAAAACCACTACTTTGTAGATGGTTATGCTGGATATAAATGCGATATCAGTGCTCTTATAGTAAAACCCAGTATTTTTTCACTTAAGCTTTAAGAAACCTACAGCTTGATTTTGCAGGCTAAAAGCTCAGTTCTAAACTACTGGTGAGTTACGAGCATGAGTAGTTGTACTATATACAGGATTAGTTTTCAGTTTCTGTCTTTGGCTCCTAGGAAATCTACCTGCTTTTCGCCAGTGCTAACCTGGAATTCAACCAGATTAAATCTTGACAGAATTGGTACAGCACTTTTTTTCTGACTCCTCATCACTGAGTCTGACTTAGCTCTGTGGCCTGATATCTAGAAGCTTGATACCAGATCTTGGAAATCTGTCTATACAAGAGTATGATTTTAACTAGCAATACGATGCCTGTGAGACCTCTGCCATCAGCCTATGCTTCCCTCGAGGAAGGAGGAAAGGAATGGAAATGCTGATCAAAAAGCATCCTGCAGCACCAGTGTAATGAAACATCCTTCCCAGAAGTACAGGAGACTCCAGGAGGCATTCAAGGAAGCTCTGGTGAGGAGAAACAATGTGCAGCGGGATTTCAAATAACTCTTCCCTCAGAGAAGAGCCTCAAATTGTTTTTTCTCTTGAATAGAGTAAATCAAAATAATAAGGAAACAACATTCCCACCTAGACGCATGACAAATTGGAAGATGACAAAGGGGAGAAGGTACTGTTTATTTATTCCTCTTTAAAATGACTTGAAAGCAAATTTAAAACACTATTTTAAAAAAAGAGAGGATTCAAAATATCAAGAAACTGAAAATAAAACCACAAAGGAGGCATTACAAGGTTAGCAGAACATCGAAAGCATAGTTAGTATAAAACAGATTTACAGTCTCAGTGAACAGCAAATTCATACTGCCCATGTAAATAGAACAGCACATAATACTTCCCCTACCCTCTGGAACACAAAATTCTTTTATCATTTTGTTTATTGTAGTACTGGATAGCAAAACACAACAATTTTTAAAAACAACATTTTCAGTTGAAAGACAAAAATGTTAAAAAATACGATATTGCTCTGTAGGCACTGATATATGTTTTTCTATGGTAAAAGAGTGTGCCAAAGCAGAATTCAAAATTGCATAATTCCTCTTAAAATGATACAGCCCTGGTATGACTGCAAATAAAAACTAGCTATGCTATTTCTCTGGCACTGCCTGACTGCAGTCCTGCCCACTACAAACCGTCTGCAACACTGGAGTTTGGACAGGGCTAGGCAGAAGCAACAGGCAGCAATACTGGAAGATGAAGGTCTCTCCTGATAAGCCAGAGCGCTCTGACAGCTCAGATCTATGGAGGGCTTTCATTACACTGACAAAGAGAGACTGTGTGTGCTTGCCAAGGCTTTCACTCCACGTGTTTCAAGTTACACCTGACCTTGAGGTGCTGAGAAAGGAGGAAACAGGAGAAAGAAAAGGTTGCTGCCTACAGGCCTGCTTAGAAATAGCCACTCTGGTGGCCAGTGGCTGCCAGCAGGAGGTCAGCTACAAGCCCTGCCCAAGCTTGCCATCAGCAGATGAGTGCTTCTCTCCCCTCTCCCCTCACTGAGCACAGGCAGCTGTAACGTGACTTATACGCTCCTCTGCAGAGCACTCTGATCGGACTACAGAGCCCTTACGTCCTCTGAGGGCAGGGATGTGGACTTCACTAGGATCTGCAGCAAATACCAACCCAAAGCAGTCAGGGGGAAGCAGTTGCTGAGGCCTTGGAAAGGGTTAAAGCAGTGCCTGTGTGGGGCACCCTGAAGCAGATTTTTATTGCTTCTGAGACTTGTCCTCCCCTACCTGTTTTGGCACATGCTGCCTTCCTGCTCCCCCTCTCTGGCGGGCAAGATGCCTGAGATTAGCAGTTCTGAGCCCCAGTGTCCCTGCGCACAGGGGAGGAAAGATGCACTTCAGTCTTCTGTTTTACTAGGGAGACTCTGGCTTAAAAAGTCACTTTTTAAAAAATGCCATGGCAGGAAGCAGTTAGTCAAACATATCCTCAAACATGCGTCGCCCCATGGCTATGTAAACCTCTTTTTCTTCCGGTGTCATCTGGGCCACCAGCTCAGGGCGCTGGCTCACTTGGCTGTATGAGTGTGGACGCCCAGCCACTGTGACGGTGGGGTCCTCTGCCACCACCTCAAACTCTTCATCCTCCTCCTCATCCTCCAGCCCATATGTTGTGGTGGCAGGGCGGGGAGGGGTTTCCTCCTCTGACTCGCTTGTCTCGCTCTCGGAGTCGCTAGCGTTGGCACCGGAGAGAGGAGCAGCACCTCCAACAGTGACTGTTGAAGCAGAAGGTGTCTTCTTCTCGTGGATAAGGAGGGCACGCATCACCTCCTCATTATCATCCAGAGCTGCCCGGCCCTCCTCACGGTCCTGGAAGGCATCCAGATCCCGGCCCCCTGCAAAGAGACACAAGGGAAAAATATCTCACAGAGATCTGGGTGAGGCTTTCTGGACCTGTATTAATTACTGCCACTGAACACGCTTGGCCAAGTCACACCCTTTCTCTATGCCAGCTCCTCCTCTCCCCTAAAAAGACAGAGATATGTTTTTTCTCATAACAGCAGAGCAAGTACTGACATGTCCTCAGAGCTGGGAGGCCTGGAGTCACTGTGGCTCCCAGCTGGGAGCCTCTGCCAGGAGCAGCACATTACAAGAGAAGACAAGAAGTATGATGGGCAGACACCTGAAAAAGAATCCCCAGGGAGGTGTCACACTCAGGTGCTCCTCAGCTCGGCTGATGCACTTTCCTCACTGTAGAGCAGAAAGCAGTCCTTAGGACCTAAATTTGGGCTTCCAGATACCCAGACTATGCACCTAATGATGACACTTGTCTGAGATACAGCTAGTATGGGGATATGTTTGTATTTGTGCTTAAAACAGTGTTGATAATTCAGGGATGTTTTAGTTACTGCTGAGCAGTGCTTACACAGAGTCAAGGCCTCTTCTGCTTCTCACACCACCCCACCAGTGACTAGGCTGGGGGTGCACAAGAAGTTGGGAAGGAGACACAGCCGGAACAGCTGAATCCAGCTGACCAAAGGGATATTCCACACCATATGACGTCATGCTCAGCATATGAAGCTGGGGGAAGAAGAAGGAAGGGGGGGACATTCAGAGTGATGGCGTTTGTCTTCCCAAGTAGCTGTTATGCGTGAGGGAGCTCTGCTTTCCTGGAGATGGCTGAACACCTGCCTGCCCATGAGGAGTGGTGAATGAATTCCTTGTTTTGCTTTGCTTGTGTCCACGGCTTTTGCTTTACCTATTACACTATCTTTACCTCATCAACCCATGAGGGTTTTTTTCTGATTCTCTCCCCCATCACACCTAGGTGGGGGCACTGAACGAGTGGCTGCATGGTGCTTAGTTGCTGGCTGGGGCTAAACCACAACATCAGAACAAAAAATTAAATGTAGAGAACCTTATATAAAAACAAGGCCTAAAAACTAGGACAGGCTCCCCATGGCAAACTTTCTGCACCAACAGACACTGCCTATGAACAGTTGCTGGAGCTGAGGTGATGGCATTCTGCCATAATTCAAACATTAATGCTACTTGCCGCCTTCTCCAAGACCTAGACCCTCATGGTTTCAACACCACATCCTGGCAACTGGCACCCAAGCCTTGCCCCCAGGGTCAAAAAATGCACTGGTTACTTTTCTCAACTCAAGATGAAAAAATGCTGAGAAACAGGTAAAGTAAGGAAGTATATCCTGCATTTAGCACTAAAAACCAGGGAAGTTTGTGGTCACTCCCTTCCTGTGGTAAAATAAAGGCCAAAAGATCCACCCCTAACTTCACTGGACTTGTGTTTTCATTGTAAATAAAGTTTTAACAGGTGATGGCTACAACCACTAATATTTGTGCCCTGGCAACATTTTTTAAAGAAAGGAAGAATAAAAGTGTTGTGTTGGCGGCCTTGTGCTCAGCTCGTTGCTTGTGACTGTAGAGCCTAAGAGGGTATTGGAGAGCATGACTGTGAAATAGTATCATAGCTCATCACATTGAGAGCTGTGAAGCAACAACAGCCTGGGGTAGCTTCACAAAGTCTAACTGTGTGGCTTGGGAGCAGGGATGTCTCTTGCTTGCAAGAACTGTTCCTGCCAGATCCAAGCAGCGAATCTTTTCAGTTAACGGTTCCAAGTTTTCCTCCTCCTTGTTTATGTCATGCAAGAGCTACAGAAATGTGTTGCAACAACAATTCCACACTGTTTCCACAAGCCCCCTTTTTGATCTCCAGTAGTGGTGGAGGTTAAGCAGTGATGCAATCATGCTGTAAGGAGATATACTCCCCTTCCATGTCCTTCAGTGGCATCTGAGAAGCACTTATGCTGTGTACACCAAACACCATCTCAAGGAGCCAATTTAAAACTACAGGTGAATTGAATGTCTAGTGAAAAAATAGGATGAGCGCTCACCTTGGCTGGTGAATAACAACAACATCTGCTACAGACTGCAGGAGGAGGTTGTTTCAATCACCTCACTTTGTTTAATCTATTTGAAAAATGTTTTGGGATCCGTATGTTTGAAAGGTGTTACATGCAAACAAGATCATTATGTATCTTCTGACCATTACTTCACATCCATTTTATTCACCTCTGCTATACCTACATACTCCTCTCATGACCATTGCACTGGTTCCAGGATCTCATGCTCACACACGCGGTTGCCTTTTGCCATCTTCTCTTCCTCAGGCATCAGAAGTTTTAGTCTATAATCCTCAAATGACTTGGAAGACTGCATTTATTGATCCACTCTCGTAAAAATCATAAAAGGTGTCCATTTCCTATTTTTAGTGTGTAAGCTGAAATAGCATACTTACCAAAACATAAAGTTTCTACCAGTGGTTACAAGACCTTGACTATTGTCTATGGACAACCTGAACCCAACATGAATGGAAATAAAAGCAAAAATAATGAGAAACAAACAGAAAGCAATAAAGACTCACCTGCCATGGTGAGAGATCACTTACTGTACCTACTGTACTTCCAGAAGCTGTATTTCTGACATATTCTTCATATAAACCACATTTTGAAAAACAAGTGGCAAGAAGAAGGCTGGGAGCATAAAAACACTGCTGCGTAGATTTGGCAGGCTTTAGAGTCAATGAATGTTAATAATGTTAATAAATGTTATTTTTCAGCAGTGACCTATTAGGGAGGCAGCTTTCTAAATGAAACTGAAAGACGTTCATCCAAAACCAATAAACTCTCAAGGTGGAAGACATAAGAGATAATTAACATTTCAGAATCCCACAAACGCAGCTTTACTGACCTAGATTTCAATCCCGGATCTAATAAATCAGGGTTTTTTGCAGCTACCTACACACAGGTGCTTTGCACAGCAGTGGGGAGCAGACAAAATCTGGAGTGTTGGGAGCAGCAGCTGTACACACACAGGGGAACACATTTTTGACAGCACTCTAAGAGCACCACTAAAGCAGAGTAGTGATTCTACTCTGTGAATTTGCTTACCATCTTTGATTTCATCAGGGTCATAAGCCCCCTGCACCGTACTCTCCCGTAGCCAAATTGGCCTCTCTCTGGCTGCCTTTCCTTCATTTGCAGACCGGTTAAGATCCTCCTGATCCTCCATGCTGATGACAACATTCTGGGTATACAAGTCCTCGTATGATGGTCCTTTTGTAGTCCATGCTTCCCGATGATGTCCACCTGCAAGGCCAGCTGCTGCCCCTGAACCAGTACCAGCTGCACGTTCCTTGCTACATAAAGGTCAAAGAGAGAAAAACAGAACACTCAGAGAAAGCCCTTTCTTGGCCAGCATTGCAACACTTAAACTATGATTAGTTATCTTCCATGACCTGCACTAAGAAGTTGTATTCTCATTTCTAACATGTGGCACCACGGATTTCTACACCAGCTTGCTCGTTTGGAGGAACCAGGGGGTCTCTAATGGGAAACCTTACATGAGTCCATGGCAACTTCCACAAGGCACTTAAAAGAAGAGACAGCACTGAGGCTGCTGAGGCACTCATGTGAAAACAAACATAAAATCCCAGAATACCCTGAAATAAAAGCCATCGCAGCAAAACATAGTCGAACAGTAATCTGGTATTCGGAAAAGTCTCTTCTTGGCCTTCATACAGCAACCATACACTGCATAAAAAAAGCACTAAACAAGCCAGATGATAGGCCCAGAGACCCAGCATGCTCGCATCTGTGAACCATTATTAATCACAGGACTTGTGAAGGAGTTAACTCACCATGAAAAACACAGTTCAAACCCTTGCTTGAATTGTGAGAGACAATGCCCATGGTGAGTCACATGTGTTGTGTGCCCTGTGTTACATAGGAGATCTGTACTATCCACAGCCTTGGGAGGACTGGGGAGTCCAGGCAGAGAAGAAAGATGAGAGGGCAACTTCAAACCAGAGGCTGGGCAAAGGGCTTTGGGTGGTGATGGTGTGCAGGAAGAGGCAAGACAACTGTCTTCATCGTGGAAAAGCTGAAGAAAAGAAACGCGATGACCGATGCAAAGGGTATGGCAGTCAAAGCCTAGCCCTCCTTTGTTTTCTGAGAGGAGCTGCAGCCAGCACATTTTCCTCCAGGCTCCCTTCTAGCTCAGGAGACTGAGGGAGAAAAGAAACATTCCTGC